AACATGGTTTCTTGCTTGAAGATGATAGCGAAAACTGCTGGGCAGTAGGTATGGACCAGATAAACATTGAGGATCAAAGTTTGATTCTGTCAGTACTATCAGACGCACAAGGTAATACGGTCAGAGTGGATGTTGGTCGAAGCCAGCATGACTCAAGCAGGTCGTTACAAAATGATTCGTCATTAGAGGTGTCGGACAAAGAATTAAGAGGCCCACGAGCAGCAAATGTAATAATGGAGGTCTCAAAGACAAATAGTCCAGTTGCATCAAGTAAGTCCTTTGTTTTAAATGTGTTGTACTAAAATTAAAAAAAAAAAAAAATTAAAAAAAAAATAAAAAAAAATAAAAAAACAATATTAAAAAAAATAAAAAATAAAAAAAAAAGAAAAAAAAAGAAAAAAAATAAAAAAAAGGAAAAAATAAATCTTGTCCTTTTTGGAATGGGATTTTACTGATGGGTGAGAATGGTAATTATGTGTATCGCTTCTTTATGCGCCTTAAGGCATGATGTATACTTAGTCTCACGGATCAGGTAAAATCGTTATTCAAAGGCCATGGTATAATATAATAGAGTGTAAATCGAACAGAATATTTGATTGAGATATCTAATTTTGAGCAATATTCAGTTTCTCAACAGAAGGACASAGGAGATAGTACAACGAAGGCATTAGTAAACACGGCTGCTCCTTCCACAGAACCCCGAGAGTACTTCAAATGTGGTTGACAATATAGAGGTCAATGTTATGAAGAACCTAATTAATACCCAGAGGKAGACCATTGCAACCCTTCGAGAGAAAATCGAGAGGCAAGACAAGGTATTCAAAGAGCTTACTGACAAACACAGGAAGGAACACGATGCTCACAATAGTCAAGTAGAAGGTTTGAAAATTCGGTTTGCCGAAAGTCAGAAAAAGGCTGAAGAATTTGAACTAAAGTATCTACGGTCTCAGAAGCAAATAGCCGAAATAAAGGAAGCTCTAAATAAACGCACTGTCGTTACAGTTGAAGAGCCTGCTTCGGAGTCATACGATGCAGTCTCGACAGCTCAACAGCTTTCTGTTGGAAGTAGCAGTACAGCTACTCGAGATAATGGTCGTGATAGGGGGTCTGATGTTCCGGTGAGTATTGTTCGAACTCACGGAAAACCAGTGAAAATAAACGAAGTTAACCTTGGTACAGCGATTAGAAATGAGATTTTGAAAGTACYTAATAGTGAAGTRATAGATAGTTTAACTTTGCAAAGGTCCGGTCCGAACTCAGGTTTAGAATCGAGTAATTTTTGAGTAATGAATCACACTCTGGTGAAACAATGAATCCTAGTAGTCAAAACACTGCTCAGACTGGATGTCATGACAATAATAGTCGGAATTCAGCCCCAGATAATCAGTCTTCAAATGTTCAATCCTGATCATAGCATACCCCGTGTATA